CATTGTGATTGGTGCTGCATTGTGACTGGTGCTGCATTGTGACTGGTGCTGCATTGTGACTGGTGCTGCATTGTGACTGGTGCTGCATTGTGACTGGTGCTGCGCTGTGATTGGACGTACCTTGTGGGGGTTGTGGTCGACGTGGCGAACCACATGGTGCATCCTGTGTGGTTTCGCAGTGCGAATGGGACAAACGGCTGCCTCCTCTTTGATATCTTCACATCTTTGGAGAAAACAAAAGAACCTCAGAGAGAGCAACCTTTTCTGCCATTTATGTCAAACATTTACAGACTTATGACAAAATATAATTATATGAAGTATAAGGAGTCAAAATAACCAATTTTAACTGTTTTAACAACAAAATATCTGAGTGTGCTAACAGAAAAAAGCTGCAACCGATTAATCGATTATTCGCATACAAAATTTGCCCTTTCTGCAGATTTTTCAATCACTCAGGCTTATTTTATTCAACATTACAAATAAATTTTAAAAAGTAAATAAAAAGTAGACATTTTATTCCCTAAAATTAAATAACAGCGTTCCTTTAGCGTGAGCATGTGAAAAGCTCACATATTTCTGCTGGACTTTGCATCTTTACAGCAAGGAGCTGATCTCCAGATAACTTTTATTATTAATCATTAGATAGCAACAGCTGCTTAACATGAGCTTTTCTTTACAGATTTGGAACCAAGTGAAGCTAAAACTATGACACTTATTTACAGACAAAGAAGGTTTTTCATCTTACATGCAAAATGTTTATATTTTGGACAGTTTGGCTTAATTACTGATTTAACTGTGTTGTCCTTTCAGCATATGGTCTTTTTTAGGATCTGTCTACTCCAGTTGATGATTAATTGATTACTAAATGAGTTGGTTTCAATAACATATTAACTGTAATTAATTGGATTCATTGCTTCAGCCCTACAGCAGAGGCATTAATCATTTACATTTTACTGGACTGTGAAAAGCGTTTCAGAGAGAACATGAAGAACATGGATGTAGAGCACAGGACAGAGGGGAAGAGGTGAGCTGGGAGTGATGGTGGAGGAAAACATGGCTGCAAAGGTGGCAAAAACGGTCAGAATGTTCTGCAAATTCTTAAAACGCCGAATATTTATCATCCAAACATGACCAGGTGGTTTCCTTAAGAGTCCGTCATTCCTTACTGTCGTATCTTTCTCTGACACTGTTTCCACTGAACATAAATTGGCACAAATTGACATTTAGAAAATACATTTGGGAACACACCAATGTAGAAAAAAAACTATAATAATATAAAGTTTTTAAGCTTTGGGAGTTTTTTTTTTTTTTTTTCTAAATTGGTTTCTTTTGACAAACTGCAATGGAAACACTTTTTCAAATCACGAGTCACATGATCAACAACTGGATGCTGCTACTGGAGCAAAGCAGTACCAGTACGCACCAGTAGGATCAGGCATGTGTTTTAATGAATTATCGCATGAACAAACTTATTCACGTGTTATTTTAATCACATTTAATGAAAACACAGCAAAGTTTTGCATTGGAAATGCAGCTACTATATCCACAAAACACACAATCTTACCTAGAAGCTTTGGTCCAGTTTATAGTGCAAAAATCTTAATACACTTGATACAAGACAAACTAACTTAAAAATAACTTTTTAGCAACATTTAAGACTCAATAATTCATTATATTGAGAAAAAAACCTACCAGATATAAGTGAAATAATCTGCCACTGGAACTAGCATTATTAAATCAATATTAAGGAATTATTGATTTAAAACCAGCTCCTATTTCTTGCTGAAAAGTTACTTGTAAGTCAGTTTTGTCTTATTTCAAGTGTTGTAAGATATGTGCACCAGAAACTCAACAAAAATACTTTGTAAGATTTTGTGCAGACAAAGTATTATTTATCTGACGCAGTCCTAATTTTTCCTCATGCAGAAGAAAAGTTTCCTATCTGCTGAATCCTTCAGGTGGTTTAATGATTGCTAAAGGTGAGAGTGCAGAATCTGACTGGTACCTCTGGAGAGAGTCTGCTGCTCGAGGCTCGTCAGGCTGGCTGTGCTCCTAGTTCTAAGGTGAGTCAGAGGCGCACCTGACCGCAGAGAGACACAGTTACAGCAAACAGAGACATAGAGGAAACAGAGACAAAGAGGAAACAGAGAGACAGAGGAAACAGAGAGACAGAGGAAACAGACAAAGAGGAAACAGAGACAAAGAGGAAACATAGACAGAGAGGAAACATAGACAGAGAGGAAACATAGACAGAGAGGAAACGGAGACAAAGAGGAAACAGAGACAGAGAGGAAACAGAGAGATAGAGGAAACAGAGAGGAAACAGAGACAGAGAGGAAACAGAGACAGAGGAAACAGAGAGATAGAGGAAACAGAGAGGAAACAGAGACAAAGAGGAAACAGAGGAAAGAGTTAGCGCTTCGGTAGCCCTGTCCTTCTTTCTCTGCTGCATTTTATTCAGCTACATCAAGACGTTTGACACTCAAACTTAAACTTAAATTGTTTTTCTGCCACATCATCTGGAGCCACCAATAGTCCTGAAAATACTGCAATAAAACTGTAGAACAACGTTTCTCGTTCCAAGCTTGTTTCTGTTCAGCGGTTCCAGTGAGGAAGTGCGTTTTTTTAATTGATGAAACTGTAGTTTTGTGTGTGACGGGAGCTTACTCTGTCCAAAGCCGGGCGGGTCGACCGAGGACCCCAACCAGTGGGGGGGCGGAGATGGAGGAGCCTGCTCTTCTGCCTTACAGTAGTCTGCCATCCAGGAAGTCTTGGTGGTTTTGTACTGGTCTGGACGGGTAGAGGAAGAGGAAGAGGAAGAGGAAGAGGAGTTTAGGGCTGAAACGATTAATCAGATTAATTGTGTTGAATCGATTATTTCAATAATTGTCAACAGAGACTCAAAAAAACGCAATCTGTTAAAAGAAAAGCACACAGAGCAGCAATTTAACCAAAACTGTACAATATATATGTAAACATTTTGCATTTAAGATAAAAAAACCCATATTCATCTGTAAGTATTAATACCCAAAACTCCTCCAATGACAGTTTTATAGTTTGGCTTCATCTGGTTTGAATTCTGTAAAAATGTCCTATTGAGCAGCTTTTTCTACCAATTATTAATCAGTTAATCCTGTAAATAATCACCAGATCATCCCTACACTGTGTACTGATGTTCAGTCCAGCAGAAAGGCCACATGTTGATGCTAGAAGGAGCTGCAAATGATCAATGGGTCACTACAGGAAGGCAGCAAAATGCTCTTATTTAAAAAGGAAATTTAATATTTGATTATTTTAATATTTTAATTATTTATTTCTAAAATTGCATAAAAAAG